GTTTAGAAAACTATCTTAGGTGCATGACTGCTAGTAGACCAACACAATGGAAGCAATGACTGACTGCTGCAGAATGGTGGTACAACACCAACTTTCACACGAGCCTGCAATGCACCCCCTTTGAGGCCTTGTATGGTTACACTCCCCCTCAACTATCCTTAGGACCCTTATTGGAGACAGTGGTACAAGCTGCTGATGCAACAATTTTTGAAAGACAACCTCACTAAGGCTCAAGAGAGGATGAAATACTATGTTGACAAGAGAAAATCTGATAGGGAATTTCAAGTGGGGGAAATGGTCTATTTGAAACTGCAACCTTATAAACAAACCTCCCTTGCATTGAGAAAGAACTTGAAATTGAGCTCTAAGTATTATGGTCCCTATAAGATTCTGGCTAGAGTAAGTATGGTGGCTTACAAATTAGACATTTCTCCTAAATCCAAAGTCCACCCTGTGTTCCATGTCTCTCTACTCAAGAGGAATGTGGGTAATAGGGTGGTAGTGCAGACCACTCTGCCTATCACTGGTGAAGATGGCCAATTCTTAGTAAAGCAAGTGGCAATCCTGCAAAGGAAGCTAATAAAGAGAAACAATGCTGTTGTGGTTCGAGTATTGGTGCAATGGTCAAATCTACCTCCAGAAGATGCCACGTGGGAGGATTATCAGTTCATTAAAGCCAAGTTTCCAAACTCCAATCCTTGAGGACAAGGATTCTTTGAAGAGGGAGGGTATGTAATGATCCATTAGATTCCACAAATATCAATGTTGTTAGCTGGGTTCGAAGTGAGAAGCTGAAGATCAGCTGTAACGGAAATCATGAAAGGGAGTTAACAGAATTTCAAATAAACTACTGAGATTAATTTAGAATTAATGAGCTGCAAGGGCCAGGATAAAGCCACATTAGCTTGTGGTTGTTATAATAACCTTCAAACGGAAATAGAAGGCAGCAATCATCAGATCATTATTCTCTCTTCTCTTTCCTCACTCAATCTATGTTCTCTCTCTCTCTCAAATTCTCTTCTAACTTCTTCTCCTTCCTTCTTCATTCTGCAGATTTCCCTCGGCTATGGAGTTCTAATTTAGGAGATAGTTATTTTCCTTTTATCATTGTAGTTCAACTTCTTCTTTTCATCAATATAAACAGAAAATTGTCCCAAAATTCCTTTTAATTCTGCAATTTAGTGTTTAATTTCCTTAGTTCTTATCGAGACCATTACAACCCCCACCCCCACCCCAACACAACAAAAATTCTGGTATATTTTGATTCTTCTTGTTGAAAATTCTCTGTTGAGGAGTAGCCACTTCTCAAGCAAACTCTATGAAAACCATCTACTTGGAAGAAACTTAGAGCCGGTTTGGACAAAAGAATTTTTCTTTTTCCGAAAAATTTTCACTTTTTTTCGATATTAGCTTTTGTTCATAAAATTCCCAGTTTTTACTTGAAGATGCATTTTGGAATTTTTCAAAAATTTTAAAAACTACAAAAAGCTGTTTTTCAAAAAATTTCACTCAGATCACTCACAAAACAACCCAAAATTATATTCATGTCCAAATATAACTCTAATTTTTAAATACCATTTTCACTTAAAAATTTTTTTTACTTTTTTTTTGAAATTTTACAATTCTCATGTCCAAACGCCCACTTAAACTACTAAACAAAAGCTTAAAAAGAGGGCAATGACAAAAGTTAATGATCAACGAAAACATAATTACATTTACAGTGAGTAATGGAAAATTAAGCGTGTTGAAATGGTGATCTAACTAAAAAGCAAGTATACAGACTAAGTCCATTATTTTGCCCTAACAAAACGGCACTTAATTCCCTAAAAAACTCCTTTCTTAATGGAAAGGGGACAACAAGTTACTTCCTCCCTCATTTCTCCTGCCCCAACTATTTATTCCCCCATTAGACTATTCAACCCAAGATCCTTAATTAAAGGGCATATAGCAACTCTTTATTGATCACAACATTAATTATTCCCCTTCTAACTAGTAGAAAAGAAAAAAAATAATGAAAATTTACAAGTTGAATTAAATAAGTTGCCACACTTTTGGTATGTCCAGCCAGTACCATGCCAAAATCTTTCCTTTCTCCTAGCCCTTATACTGGAATTATTTTTTTTCAATAAATTGTCCTGTCAATTCTTTATATTTTTTGTTAATAAACGTGTCGCTCCTACTATTCTTGCAGTGTCCTTTTGGAATTTTGATAAATACATTTTGAGACTGTTGATAAGAATACATAAATAGAGAAAAGGAATTTTTATATTCCTATGCCACATAAGAAACCTTATGTTTAAGGTTTGACTTAATTACACTTAGTATACCAAATTACCAATTCTATACCACAATTAATTAAGGGTATAATTAATGAGACGTCTTTTACTCCTTAATTAAAGGATTTCCGTATATCCCAGTATCTCCATACCAATTCTATACCATTTGCATACGAGTGATCACCATAAGTAACATTAACCATTGCACAAACTATTTGTATATGTCAAAGAGTTTGAAGTATCGTACAGAGGATCGTCTGATTTGCAACCTTTAGTGCAAGATTGGCAACGTACCCAACTCGATTCGCTACCAGTATCCAACATTTAAGTGATAGTCTTGTTGTGGTGTGCCAAGACTTACTTTTACAGTATAGTACCCATAATTATAGTTATCTTCATTAATTGGATGATTACTGTAAAGATGGTCATTCAATTGTAGCTTAATTGGTATTTTCGACATAATTGCGTTTTTTGCAGAAGATTTTGTAGAAGTTTTAGTCGTTTTGGATTTGTGAAAACAGAAAACAATGCATCTACAATCAGAATATAAATATTCTACAATTCATCTACAAAATATCTACAAACTGGGTATATTGAATTTTAATATCCCAATTCCCATTCGATTGTAGTTTAATTGGGATTTTCGACATAATTTAGCTATTTTATTTTTTCAGAAGATTTGTAGAAGTTTTAGCCGTTTTTTATTTGTTAAAACAGAAAATAAAGCATCTACAATCAGAATACAAATAATCTACAATTTATCTATAATTTCTGAATATGTCTTCTTCTTCTTCTTCTTCTTCTTCTTCTTCGAGTTTCAATCTGAAATTCAGTCAAAACCAAGTCTAATCTTCACCAAAACCCCTCAAAATTGAGATATAAACTCCAAACCATATTCCCGATTATTTTCAACAACACCCAATCCAAACAAATAATGATTTTTAAAAACCCAAATTTGAATTCAAAGCTTTCAAGCTTTTTAATGGCTGTCAATGGTGGAATTGCTGCTCTCTTTTCATTTGCTTTGTATAACTGAAATTTGCGATTGAGAAATAGAGAGAGATGTAGAGAGAATGTCGACGAACAGAACTTTTGCAGAACCGATTTCTACAATTTGAAATTGAGCTTCTGATTTCGACGAACTGAGCTTTTGATTTGTGTCTTAAGCGAAAGTATTGAAGAACAGATCTGAGCTTTTGAACAGATTTGATTTCGACGAATTGAGCTTTTGAACAGATTTGATTTGTGGCTAAATCAATTAGAAGATTATGTTCCTGAATTTTAGCACACCTAATTAGGAAGATTCAGTTACTAATAATTAGTATTTAATGAATGGTATAATAATTGTAGGAAAAATGTAGACAGGGCGGGTAAATTAAAAATTGTGCACATTTTTGGTAATAAAGTTTCATATATGATATAGGAATGAAAAAATCTCTAGAGAAAATATAGGGTATAAAATATGTCCTAAAATTCATTCTAGACAAGAATAATCTCCGTTGCATCAAATAAAAAGGAAGAAAAAAATGGAGTGCACAAACAAGTATTCTTATTGGTCTATCAATTTTTATTTTTCTCATAGCTTGTTAGATTAATCGGTAAGGATCTGTTTACAAATAGAAAGGGGCCTTGGTCCACATCGTATTTTATTATGATCTGTCGTTACAACAACCCAACAGTTTTCTTCACTGATTTAAGTAAAGGTTAAACCTACATTTATTCTAGTAACCTCCTATTTTGTTCCCATTTTGCCCTATCTTGTCCATTAATGCAAAAAGCACATAAATTTAAGTTTTATCGACTAATAGTAAATGAAAATTTACACCTTTGGTGTAATTTGGCTGACTTTAACATGTTACCAAGCCCTTTTCTTGGGACTAGTTTAAGTTTTATATACTAGTTTATACATTTTCTTTCCTATTCCCTCCGTCCTAAATTATGTGACGATGTTCGGATTTTAAGAGTTACACGAAATATTCTTTGATCATAATTTTTCAAATGTCTTTTAAATATTTTAAATTTTTTATTATTGTGACTTATAGTACTTCTTATGCAGTTTTCAAATATGTAAATTTTATTTCAAAAATTAGAAAATTCGTTGTCTAAATATACTTCCAAAATTAAGATGTTTGAATTTCGAAAAAGAAAAATATAACATAAAATGGGATAAAAGAAATATATAATTAAGTTGGCATACAAAAAGATGTGACTCTTCAAAATAAATCTGATATGAATACGTGTAACTGGGGCAATAACCTACTATAGTTGTTTAAGTTGCACTAAAATAAAAAATAGACAATGTATATAAGTTAATTCATATTAGATTATATACTCACTAGTGGAGTAATTATTTTGTTAATAAAGTAATTGTCGAATGTAGAAGAAAAAAGTATTTTTTTGTTTAATAAATTTCTATTGGAATAAATACACCAAATAAGAGAGGGGAAAAAAAGGAACTGATTCATAAGGGCTGTTTGGGGAATGTAGAAATGGGATGGAAATAAATGCAAAAGTCGCATGTTACATGTCCTTACCATTCACTCTCTCTGCCTTCATGCATACGCTTTAATTGAACCCTTTTTCTTTTCCTCTCTATTAATTACCTTTTGCCGTTTTAAGAAACAAAAATTACTCCCCCAATTGAATCCAAATCTAATTTATCAAATATTTAAAATCAGATTTTATATATAGTAGTCTTAAAAATATTTCCATTTGTATCTATCTGTTGGTGGAGGAATGCTTGTTACCTACTCCTTTATAGCTTCTCCACTCTCTACAAAACAAACACAACACACACACACACACAGTGCTAACAAAAAAGTAAAAGAAAATCTCTCAAATGGAGAAACACAAGACATGTAAACTCTGCTCAAGGAAGTTTGCTAATGGTAGAGCTTTAGGTGGACATATGAGATCTCATATGATGAATCTCTACATACAACAACAACAAAAACATCACCAAATCAGTGAAGAAACTGAGTCAATTCCATCGTCTTCTTGGTCATCAGAAGAAGAAAATGGAGAAAAATCCAAAATTTTAAATCTTTCTGACTTCTCTGGAGAAGAAGCTGCTGATGACTCAGTTGTTCTTCCAGATAAAGAAAGTGAAACCGAGTCATCAAAAAACCCAACTCGTTCAAGAAGATCCAAAAGGGTTAGGAAATCAAGTATCATAAATCCCAATTTCGTGAAAGTTACAGAGTACTACTCATCATTGGTTGAAACAGAGCCAGTTAGTTCAATCTCAGAAACTTCACCTGAAGAAGATGTTGCACATTGTTTGATGATGTTATCTAGAGATAAATGGATTAAACAACAAGTTGATCACTACTCTGACGAAGAAGAAGAAGAAGAATATAAAGAGGAAAATTCTGGAGTACAAGTTAAAGTAATTACCAAGAACAGAGGTAGAGGTAAGTATAGGTGTGAAACATGTAACAAAATTTTTCGATCTTATCAAGCATTAGGAGGACACAGAGCAAGTCATAAGAAGATTAAAGTTTCAAATTATAATAATGAAGTGGTGGAAAATGTAGGAGTAATTGAAGAGAAAATACATGAATGTCCAATTTGTTACAGAGTTTTTTCATCAGGGCAAGCTTTAGGTGGACATAAGAGATCACATGTTATTGGTGTTTCAACAGCAGCAGCAAATATTAGTGTTCCTGTTTTTATTCCAACTGCTGCAAAATTAGAATTTTCAAGAAATGGTGGAAGTTTAATAGATCTTAATCTTCCTCCTCCAATGGAAGAATTAGATGATGAGATTATTAGTCAAGTTGAGGTTTCTGCAGTTTCTGATGATGCTGAATTTGTCAACCCCATTAAGCACTGAAATGAAAGGTAAAGTTTTGATCTTTTACTTTTTTCCTAAGGTTGTAGGCAGGGGCGTATCTAGAGCACAGTGTATGGGTTCCCGGGAACCCAGTAACTTTTGCGTAGACCCTGTATTTTTATTAAAAAATTTACTAAATATCTATAAATATCTAACGGTGAACCCAGTTATTATGGTATATTAATTTGAGATTGCGACAGGAACCCATAAACTTCAAATTCTGGATCCGCCTCTGGTTGTAGGAAAGGATTATGGATCTAAGTAAAATTTTCTTGGGAAAATTGGGTTAATTTTGCTCATTCAATACTTTTGACTGATTCATATTTACTGTTGAGAGTGTTCTGTTAATGTAACAGCTAACATTTACTGATAAAGGAGACTAGCAGATCACTTTCTTCAGTTTAGTTAATGACTTTAAATTTATTTTCACATTCTTCTTTTTTTTTTAGCTTACCTACAATGTGGACTTTAAAAATAAAGAAAATAAAAAAGAAAACAGCAGCTACTGTAGTTAATGGTGCCTGTTTGAATTGCTGCTAATGGCCTAGTAGTGTTCCACCTGTTGAATTCAAGACAATTCCTTTTTTCTCTCTTTTTTTGTCTTCAATTTCTATTTTCTTTTTTCCATCTAATTGCATTTTTCTTTATATATAACATAGTAGTAGTAGTAGTAATAGAATAGTTGGAGGTTTATACTTAAAGTACTAGGTAAATTCCACCTGTGTACTAGGAGAAATAGCAACAAATTCTTTTTTTCTTCTCCTCTGTGTCACTGTCTGACTTTCCAACACTTGTCTGATACACAATAGGTAGAACCTTACAGATCTGAAATACTTTTCTGGATACCCAATGGTTTGTATTTGACTCAAAGGAGCTGAAGTTTGTTTCTTTGACTATATTATCCTTATCTACTATGTAAAAACCTTTTAAAACTATCAATCTTATTTAACATGTTATAATGGATCGGAAAAATACATAAGTTGCTCCCTATACTTGTCCGAAAAGTGAGTATCCCACTCAACCTTTACGGGTATTTAATTTGGACAAGTACAAGGAGGAAAAACAACACCCGTAAAGGTTGAACGGGAAACACACTTTTCGGGACAAGTATAGGAAGCAACTTATGTATCTTCTCGATCTTTTATCTTACTTTCAATGTTATTGAGTACTAAGGATGGTTATTTAAACGTATAAAATGAATTCTATTAACTATAAACGTATAGAAATAAGGTCAGTCCGGTGCACTAAGTTCTCGTTATTCGCGGGTCTATTGTACACAGTCTTATCCTATATTTTCCCAAGAGGTTGTTTCCACGACTCGAACCCGTGACCTCTTGATCACATAGCAGCAACTTTACCAGTTACGCAGATCCCCTCCCTATCAACGTATAGAAGTTAAACTGATTAAATTTTGATTGAACTACCCTTTTTCCTTAAGGGGAATATCTGTGAAAGAGGACAGAGAGAAAGTTAGAGAAAACCAATTGTGTTACTGAAAGAATATTGCTTGCTTGGTTTGGCATGACCCAACGTATCTGGTTCATGCAGGTTTCTAGTGATAGAAACTACAAATGGATATTTTATGTGTAGAGAGCTTTATTATATGTCACATTCATGAGAAGATAATAAATGGACCAGGGTTCCCTTTTCTTTGTTGGAAAACTCTTTTTCAATTTTATGCATTTCTTTTTTCATAAATATTTCTAGTTTTATAGAACATCTTGTAATAATTATTCCACATTAAAGGTGAAAAGATAAGCAAAAGTTGTATGAAGAATAAAGTTTCCTATCAGTAAAAGAGTCTCATTAATGGACATTAAGGTTTTAGTTTTGCATGTAGTAACTGAACATTAACTCTTGTAAAAACTGAATAATTTAAGAATTAATGAATATACTTTTGATTATTTGTACTTATTTTCGATACTAATACTAAAGTTGTTCCTGCGTTATTCAAATCTTAAGAATGTTTAATTGTTGGAGTCAGGGCGGGAGATGATGATATAATAGTTTGGCGGACCATATATGTTTACCTCAATCCAATAAATACACGACAAATATCATTTTACATGACACAATTTTCACCTCATTTTTATCACTAATCACGATAATTAATATATAATTTAATATAAACATTATACGTAAAGAAGTTTTTTCATGATTTGAGTGTCATTATTCTTATAACAAAGAAGATCGTTTCAATTTATAATTCATAGAAAGAAAGCATGGCCATTATATTTGTCCCTAAGCATAACTCAGGTCGGCAAATTTAACAGAATGAGAGCGAAAGAAGGTGCCTTTCAGGTAACATTTTGGTCCTCCGTATTTTTTTTTAATAACTGTGAAATATTACCATTTAACACCTTGGCATTTTTTAACTTTTTGAATTATAACATTCTTATAGCTCTACTGGGATTATTAAACAATTAATTACAAAGATTACAAACTAAAGTTAAAATATGTATTGTTTAGCCATGCTTAAGTTAACAAATTTATATGTAACAATACATACAATGTGGTGCAAACTTTCCAAACCGATACAAGTCACCTAAAAAAAAAAGAGCACTATTAATCTAATATTTTAATTTATTCTTTAATTTGAAATTGTGGTTTAGATCACATCTGACAATCATAGTGTCATGTCGGATTATGTGTAGTGTCTCAAAATCGTGGATTTTGGGTTGGAATTTGGATCAGGAAGTGGCATGTCCAAGTAAAAACTAAAAGAAAAAGAGAAATTAGACAAATATTCTACAAGTCTTTATTTTATTAATATTATTTTGGGTTCTCTTTACAATTTCTGTATTTACCTCTCATGGACAAGTAACTAGATTGAAGACCCTTGACCTTTCTAAAATCTCATTAGAAATTCAAATTGCATTATTTATTCTTCCTTAGCACACGCAAAAAAAAATTAAAAATAAAAATCTCTGTCATTCGTTACATATGCAATATTGCATAATTAAATTTGACCTTTCTTGGTTGCATAATATAGCTGTGAAACAATACGAAGTCATAGCCACGTTAATTAAATCGTTATGATTTGAGTGCCACGACTCACTTGAAAAAAGAAAATTAATTTGGTACCGATCATTGGAAGGTGGTTGATTTTTTGGAGATTTTAATTAGATTATTACCATAACTTTTTGAAGAAAATAAACATCCAACTTGCATATAAATGTCCTTTGTGTCTCATTCTTTATCCTTTAGTCCATTCTTTTTATGCTTCTGGTTGTAAACAAAGTCAACTTCCACCACTATAACCTCCATCAGAATCCCACTGTCAAATTTGTTTCTAATCATGTTATAGCACGTAATAAAACAGAACCAATCTTCAGCTTATATTTAGTAATAAAATTATATTTGACACAGCACACACACAGGAACTTTTTTGAAACCTATAAATTTACGGATTGCTACAAAAAATAAATATGATTATGTTTCCATCTTCTCGTACTTTTAGATGAATGAATCATGAAACCACGACTGAAATAAATTTTAGATTTTAATAAGAAACTATTACAAAAATTAAATATAGAAAAATTAAGTACCTGAAAATATAACAATGTTTTCAGAAAGCAAAAGAGAAAGAGAGTTACATTATGATAGTAACCATAAAAGCTAATTGGTGAACCAAATGGATTGCCTATTTCTTTTCTTTCTTCCTTCCTTTCCCGGAAGTGAATGTTTAACAAGAATCAATAGATTCTTGAGTTCACATTTAAAAGTGGATAAGTCATCGTCAAGGACAACTCTTAATTTGTCTTTTTTAGTTGGTGTTTTAAGACAAAATTTCTTGACAATTCTTTCTAGTTGCTTGTCTACAAATGGCGATCTATTAAAGAGCCACACAAACACAAACACATTCATAAGCAGAGAGCTATTAAAAGGTATATAACATATTTCCTCCGGTTTACTTTAATATATTTTTTGGTTGTTTTCATATATATTAAAGAATTCAACTTTTATCATTAACTAACAATCAAATTGACCATATTAATCTTAGTTTGTTCATTGAAAACATAACAAGTACTCCTAAGTTCTTTACTCCAAAGGCAATTTTAGAAAAAAAAATAGTTAAATCCTTCTTGATATTTGAAAAATCAAATACTATGGACCACTAAAAAAAGGCCAAAAAATCAATTAAAGTGGATCGGAGGTAGTAATTTTTTTAGTCGATGTAATTTATTGCAACAAATTACATTGTCTATCTTATTTTAGAGGTTTTAACTTATTAATTTAAGATGATCTGCTAGTTTAAATTTTTTTATTTTGTCAATAATTAGAAGTTAAAGTGATACTTCCTCCGGTCCACAATACGTGACCAATTTACCTCTAAAATAAGTGTCCATTTATATAATCAAGAAAAAATTTAATTTATTTTTCAGAATTACCCTTATATACATATCCCTAAAAAGTCTTTTATTCTTCACAATAACTATGCTGCAACATTCAATTAAGAGTAATTTAGTCACAGAATTATTTTTGTCTAAAATTTTATATTTTCTTAATGGGTGTGCCCAAAGTAAGTGGACACTGAGGGATTAATTAAGACTAAAGCTCGGCTAGCTGGCCTTCCAAATGGTTGGGCATTGGCCCTCCATAGTCCATAGATAGGCTTGTCATATATGGTGTGTATTGGTAGGGTCTTCATTTTGTCAAGGTTTTGGGAAAAAAGAATTGACCCTTAATTTGCTACTTGAAAAAGCTGAAAAGGTGTGAGTCAATATTGTGATGGTTTATTTGGCATTACCTTTTAATTTATTTATCTTTCTTTTCTCTTCAATTCAAAGTTCTAACTGAGACTACTACAACTTCACGAGAGTCATCATTTTAGTATAGCTTTTCTCATTACTTCGAGAGTAGTCAATATATATAGTTCAAATTCCAAACTGTAATGGCGGCATTTAAATTATCACACTCAAACAAAAGGCAGAAGAGATGAATCCATACAATTTTGACTATAATCACAGTGCTCAATCACTAACACAGACTTTATATTTCTAGTAACTGCCAAATTATATACGTATGCAACCTTTGTCCTTCAAGAAAATGTATAAGGGTTTGATTTCTCTTGGTTGACCTAGTCGTTTATTTTGGTTTTCCTTTTGTCAGTCTGTAATGGACTGGCTTGGGCTAATTTTCCTATGCAGTTTAACTTATGTACTGTAAAACTTTTATTATATTATTATGTTACTTAAAAAATAATTATAGCTAATTATTCAATTAATACCCTTAAAGAATACAATAATTTAAATTGTGATAATAATATTAAAAAAAATTGCACGATCAGTTAAATCATTTCCTATGATGTGACTTTACAGTATCTTCGCGTCGTATACGTAGTGGGGTATTTTTATTAGGTAATTTCCTTGAAGTTTTGTTGGTGTTATCTACTAGGTAATTTCGTTAAAGTTTTGTTGGTGTTGCACTCGACCATTTTCTGCCGAGTATTTTAAAAGAAAAATCAGTTTCTCTTCATCAAGTAGAAGAATGGAAGATTGGAGAGTTCCACCCCACTCCCACTTTTGCAACACAATAATTCTCTTTTCCAAGAGACGTTGTTCTTGAGACTTCAGATTGATCAGCACAAACTTAAATGATGTTAACTTTTATGTAATGGAACAATGACTTCAAAAATTCTGTAAATTGCTAGCGAAAAATATAGGGTAAATTTCACAAATGGTAACATAATTATGAGTTTTTTCACCAAAGTTATATAACTTTGTTTTCTCACACAAAAATCATCAAACTTTCACTAACTCACACAAAAATCATAGTGGTCAGAAAATAAATTTTTCGGTAACATTTTCTTATTTTACGTTTTTTTTAATTTTTATTTTCAGTCTAATAAATAATTACCCAATTAAAATAGAAGAAATATGAGTATATTTAAACCGCTCCTAAAAATAATAGCCGATAAAATATTATATATATATATTTTTTCGACCGGGCGGTTAATTTTATATTTTTTCCGACCCAACCCAGTCTAACCCAATACCCATATATGTGAGTTAAAATAATACTAAGAGTGAATTCTTTCCCCATAAAATATTTAGTTCAGAATGCACGAGACTCTGACAAAAAAATAAGAAAATAAAAGGTATAATTAGAGAGCACTTGAAATAAAAATCCTATCAATTTATATAAAAATCTTGAAAAAAAAAATGATAGAAGTATCATGTTTTGAAGGATTTATTATTCACTTTTAGTATTATTTTACATTACATTACATTACACTATATAATAAGTGAAGGTCTGCTGTACGACGAAGGGTATTTTTGGAAATCTAACTTGCTTTACGGATAATTTAGTAATTTTGAGTCATTCCATCTTAAAGACCTGTACTGCAACTTTACAAAACACGTGTGTCATCACTTATCCCTCTTGCAATGAATGGGAAACACGTGGTCTTCAATGTTCATACCATTTTTTCCTTTCTTTATTCTTCCTTTTTTTTGTATGACTCCTAAATCTTTTGTTCCCCAAAAAATTGCTTCGTTCTATGATAACTCAATTTACCATTTCAACACTCCCATTACTCATCCCTACAAAATCAAAGCGAAAACCCTAGGATACGAATATATACTGGAAAAGCACATACAGAGAGATTGAGATATTAAAATTTTAAGCTAAGGCGTAAAACTAAGAAGCCGGGTCATCTCTAAAAGCAGAACCACTGTATCTTCATTGAGGTAGCTTTTAATGCTTAAGTCTTATTTCTAATAATATAGAATGAGATTATAAATTCCGATTTCCTTTTCTTGATTTTTCCTTTTTCCAACTCTACTATCAGGTCTCATCAGCTTCTCTCTCTGGTATTCATTTTTCAAATTGTAAGCTCTTTGTTTAGGTGAGTTTCTTCTGTAACCTTTCTTTTGTTTCCTCACTTTCTTTGGTAATCATCATTCCTTGGGTATATGTTAGCTTCTTATTCTTTTGGTGGGTATTTATTAGATTTTCTGTTATTTTGGATTGTTTCTTATTGAATCTTCTACATGCGTGTCGATATTTTTTCTGATTTGCTCATGCATGTTTGGGAATAGATACCTTGATACAATTTGTGAGAAGTACTGCAAATAATATCCGTTTTCAAGATATTTTTTCTACTTAAAGCTGATGATTCTGTTTTTATTCTATTGATGTAAACTATTAGTTACCTATTTTAAAATATAGTCTGTTTGTTATTGGAAGTCTTATGAATGACATTAACTATTACTATAAAGATAGCATCTATCTTTCTTCTTTGTTTCGTTTATACAGTATGATTTTCATTGTTTTTCTTCCTTCCTGTCAATCCAAAAAATATGAGGATCTTGGCATTTAAGCAAGACCTCATTGGCATTAGATATTGGATTATTAATTTTGGTTCTCTTGCATAAATAATTTCTACTTTATCACCCTTATCTATTTTACGAATTTGAGATGCAAAAGGCATACCTGTATTTTGTTAAATATAGTTTTACAGGTATCAGAACACCATGTCACAACGAACCGACATCAATTATGAATCTACGATGATCATATAACACCAGCTTTATCTGATTGAACATGCAAAATGCAAGTTGTGGACAAAATCAAGAGCGAGAAAATCTTCACAATAAAAAGAAGACTTCAGAATTAATCTTGCAAGATGAAGAGGTAATTTGATTTATCTTCCATCTAATACAACTAACTTTATCTAATTATATCTATTGTTTTATTGACACTAATAATTTAACATAACAACAAATCAATAAAGTGTATAACAATGGTATTCTATATTATGGAGAAAAGCTTGAGCCCTTTAAATGGCTTGAACCAGATGATCTTATAAGTTTATTGCATGTTTCAATTGTTGTAGAACTTGAAGCTGCAATTATGCTGCGCAACACAGCACGACTATAGAAATGCGGCGAACTGAATTATTTTGCTAATGGGAACTTCAGGAAAAAGGTTTTGAAGCTCAACTCAAAATAGTTAGGTTCTTCTATGGCATTTACAACTAAATGTGGTGCACGATAATTATATTTGACACTGTAGTTTGAAATTTTAAGATTCTCTATCACCAACCACCTACGCGATGAATAAATTGTGTATCAAACGGTTCTAAATGTTGATGTTCCAAGATAGAATTTCCCCTTTGTAGTTTCTCATTTCATTATTGTTTGAGCATGAGTTAGTAAATAGAGCCTAAGAAGAGATCATGTGCGCTGATGAATATCCTTGCATAAACATAGTAGTCTATGTAGTTTCTTAGTATAGTTAATAATGTCGGTACTCCCTACAACATGTAATTATTTTATAGGTCCATGTGTTAAAATTAATTAGGGTGCACCATAATAGCTATTTACTTTGATAAGTTTTTGTTTATGGCATTTTCCTTGAAATTCTTTGGAAGATATTTTAAGTGACCAAAAATGATAGGAAAATATATTGATCCCACTCTAGATGAAGAATTAATGCACCAAAGAAGTAACATAAGCTTCATTGAAAAAAGTAGAAGTCAACTCATATATTATCATCATCAAACTGAGGAGAATAGGTATTGATAGGTACTACTTTCTTATTCGTACAGGGATAAGAAATTTTTTCTATTTCTTCTTTCTAAAGGCAAGGCTAAGCCATCCGCCCTTCATTGCAGGGGAAAAGGGGAGACGGTTCCCAAGGGGTGGCTCTATGTCACCTTCAAAGTTTTATTGTAAGATTTTATTTTAATAAACTTATGTATTACATGCTCTATAGCGTTATGAAAGAACTAGGATTGTCCCAAAAAAAGATATTGATTCCTAGCCAGAGCATGCAAGAGATGTGTCCCATTATTTATTAAAATTGTTACCAATGAAGCTTCAAAGAAGCTTGTTCCTACTTCATTTTAGCAGTAGCTGTTGCTTCCCCGTGGCGGGTAAATTAGAGGTATCTCTATTTTCTATGCTCATGATACTTTGGCTGATTACTAACCTCTATTTTTATAGTTGAAGGTTTTTGCAGGTTCAATTTTAGTTTCTTAGAGCTTAGGTGTTTGGAGCTGAATTTGATAATGTGAGTTTATATTGTCATTCATTTTAACAATCTCTTTATCTGGTTGACCTACCATTTGAAATATTTTGCTTTTATTTTCAACAAAGTGAACATCTCTACTAATTGAGATAAGAGCCATATAGTTACTTATAAAAATAAAAAAAATAAACAAAGATAAGAGCCATATAGTAGGATGAAAAATATTAGCTGCATTTATCTATGACCCTTATATTTTAGAGTATATGTTTTATCTTGCATTTAGCCTAAACCAAACATAAATTCTTGAAAAGGTAGAAAAAATACCCAATATAAAATTTAAACTACTAGCACATGTTGAATGCTTGTTTTATGTGAAAGTATCAAATTCCTTATTTTTTTTTGTGCAAGTTGAATTATAGGATACATCAAGGAATGCACCTTGGTTGAGTGCATTATATCTTGCAAGTGGAAGTGTAGGATGCTTCAATTCTCACCTTTCATTTCCTTTTTAAAAGTAATTATGCAATTGAGATCTAAAAAGAGAAAAGTAAGAAACTTACCAAGTCAGATGCCAATTTTCTTAGTTAATAGGCTAGCCTAAATTTAAAGAATTGATGCTGGAATCCAAATAGAATAGATACAACATTTTAGAACACTGGGCTCTCTACCCTTCCTCCATATGCTATTGAAGCATGATGAGATAAACATAACAATGAAAGTTTACTATATTTTGATGTAACATCTTGTTGTGGTGTTTAGGATAGATGATTTCATAGGGTTGCCAACAACTTCAGCGCCATCGCAGCTTGAGATACTTATCATGAATCACAAATGCAGGAAGAATGCTGATGTCTCAAGCTGTTAGAGCTATGTGTAGATTCTGAGTATGTTCTCTTCTAAAATCTCTATCTAATTCCCCCTATCCGTGGAACTGCAGTTCTTTAGTGAAAAAAGCTCCATCAACCTTTCAATACTAAAATCAGTGACAACCGTGATTACAATAACCCAGGTGTCTCTATTTGAAAAAGTGTCTGACATCCTGCTTCACCTATTGATTGAGTTGAATGTTTTGGTTGGCGCTTCATACAACTAATATATGGTGTTTTTGGTCCATGCTAAGAATATTCATATGGAATCTTATTGGTTAATTACAGTAATTTCGATTTTTTTCTGGATCAAGCATCATGTCTCTATGGTGTATATATTTTCTTTTTGATGTAATATTAGAGGTAGGAAGTGTCTTAGTCTTTTCTGTAGCTATAAACTGTTCAAAAGTCGATTCTCCATTTCTGCTTTCAATCTGGAGTTGCTATCCTTTGGCTTGATGCTTCTCTTACCTATGTTGTTCGACTTGAATGTGCCATCAAGCTCTTGACGACAATTCAAAAAGCACTGATATAGCAGTTTGGAGTGTCTTGCTGGTGATGACCCTGATCCTACTTCAAATGAGAGACTACGTTATGAATCAAGACTATGTTATACCTCCAAATAACACAAACTATATATGTCAGGCATATGCCCGTGCACAGCACGGGCACCACCTATCTAGTTTAATTTATATGTATGAGTATTGGGTCGGGTGGGCCAGGTCGAGTTGAGTTATTTCTATTTTAATTGGATTATTATTTATTAGACTGAAAATAAAAAATAAAAAACCACAAAATAAGAAAATACTACTAAAAATATATTTTTCGATCACTATGATTTTTGTGTGAATTAGTAAAAGCTTTATGATCTTTGTCTTGAGAAAACATAGTTATGTGACTTTGATAAAAAAAAAAAAAGTCATAGTTATATAATTTTTTTGGAGTCACATAAAAAAAGTCATAGTTATATAATTTTTGTGTGAGAAAACAAAGTTATATGACTTTGATGAAAAAAAGTCATAATTATATGACTATTTGTAAAATTTACCCAAAAATATATTCACTGCTGGACGACTGACCCAAAATTAAATTTCGGAGGATGATCCACTTGTTTGCTAAAATTAATTTTTAGCTAAGAGCATGTTTCCTACGGATATTCGGGAAATTAATTTTCTAGTGATGTTGCTAGGGAATTTTGTTGCAAATTAGCTAGAGATTTTGCGATAAATGCTTATTTCCCGTAGTCTGATTCTCTGTGTATAGCACATTTTCGCACAAGTAGGAAGCAATTTTAACAAAAGCAAGCTTAGTGTAGCTTGCACGCATCTGTTGGGATCAAATACATTATAAGTAATTAGGGGTATACATATGTCAGGTTGGTTCGGTTTTTTTAATTATCAAATAAAATTAGTGGTGTCGGATTTTTAAATCAATAAATCATACCAAATCAATAAAGTCGGATTTTTCAATCTCGCCTTTTCTCGGGTTTTTCAGAGTTTTTCGAGTTTTCGAGTTTTTTCCGCCGCTAAAGTCTTCATAGCACAAAATAGGATATAACTATATGATGTATTTTTCAAAAAAATAACACAATAATATGACATGAGTCATAGCATTGTACTAAAATATTCAATAACAAAGACAATAAAATCGCATAAAAAAATATTACTAATTAATACGCCATAATAAACATTAACATAATCTAAAAATACTATATTGGTAATGCTAGAATAAGTACATCTAATAAATACTAATTAATTATACAACTAAGCACTAAAGAAAAAGATAAACTAGGTTATGCATTTTCATTATAAACTAATGCAAAACTAAAAAAGATATCCATCACTATTGCCATTCTTAATGTTGAATTGAATTTCCTTTATTAGCATTAGTAATGATTTGAACTTTATTGACTTACTACATTTATGGGTTACAAAATTTATTGGACCATTCAAGAATGTTAAGTCCAAACTTAATACGTTTAAAGATAAAACTGTGAAATAGTTTAAGAAATATTTATAAATTATATTACATAAATATTTATATGTATAAAATATTTTTAAAAATTATATAAATGTAATGTCGGGTTGGTTTGTTTTCGGTTTGACTTTCTTTTAGTTAAAACATAACCAAACCAATTATGGTCGGATTTTTTTTTTTCCAACAGCAAATCAAATCAAACCAATTCACATTCGAATTTTTTTTCCGATTTAACTTGAATTATCGATTTAGTGCGATTTATCGATATTTTTTGTACAACCTAATTATAATCATGAAACTAACCTATTAAAGCAACCGTGTGAACTATTATACCTTAACAATTAGTACATGGATTGACCTCTTAATTTTTCACGTTCTCCTTTTTGTTTCCAGGTGTATTTATTTTTGTATACGATCAAAATTGGGCCTACCCGATTTTACTATTTGATCGAGACAAAGGAGTTGCATCGAGGGTATCCTCATAATGAACCAGACCCGAGCTCGAAGACGAGGCATCGAGTCTAAAGATCGAAGTGTCCGTTGAGACCGAGGCCAGCAGCAATCAAGACTAAGTATGACCGACTTCAAGTGAAGTGCAATAACGGAAATGCGAGATATCCGTAACCGATCGAAGATCACTGCGCAAAAGTCGGAACAAATCAAATCAAGGGCGATTATTTGTACCAATCATGAGATTTACTTTCGTAATTAGAATTGTACTATAATTTCTCTAGTATATAAAGGGGGGTCCCCATCATCTGTAAACATCTCACATTTAGGAATATCAAGGCAATATAATATTTCTTTCTTCTGCTCATCAACTTACTGCTCTTTAATTGTTCTTACTTCACTACTATTGAGGGTTCATCAGCTCGAGGGCATTGTCCAAGCATTGGTTTGTTTTACATTCTTGTCAATTCCCATCATTTATCTCTAAGTTAATAAATTGGTATTAAGCGAAATCATGTATTCTTTACAACTTTAATTGTTACTCGATTTTTTGGGTAAACAGTTTGGCGCCCATCGTGGGGCTAAGGATAATAGTGATTGCTTAATATTAACCTTCATAACACACACTGATTTTACACTTGTTCTCGTAAGTGTTTTTGATTTCAGGAATCAACATGTCAAACTCCCAAGCAATACCCACTCACACCGACTTTATCTTGGTCTTCATGGCAAAAACCAACACGTAGTCGCCCCGGGAAACGGAGTGCCTCCAATCAGTCCCGACGCACCATAGACCGTGGATCCGGTTGATGTCAATTCTCATGTCGCCATTCGTGGAGATTTTGGCGCCGACCCTGAAAATAGCGTTCGCAGAGACGCCCAAGCAGCCGATCGGAACGCACAAAATGGTGAAGAAGGTGGAATTAGCCTTCGAATGATATTTGACATGCTACAAACTCAGCAGGCTACAATAGCGCAACTCCAAAATCAGAATCGAGCCCCAAGCAGAATCGAACTCGATACACCACAAGAAGTTGCTCATAGGGTCGAACCCGTGCAGGAAAAATTGAATGATAATGGATCGGGAACTGATCCCGCCATCATGAAAATGCTCGAGAAGCTCACTAAACGGATAGAATCAGGTGAAAAGAAAATTGAGGCTAATGAAAAAGGTAGAAACGTACAACTCACGAGTTGACCAAATACCGGGGGCACCCTCGATCTTAAAGGGTTTGGATTCGAAGAAGTTCGTGCAGAAGCCTTTTCCTCAAAGTGCGGCTCCGAAGCCCATTCCTAAGAAGTTCTGTATGCCAGACATCCCCAAGTACAACGGGACCACCGATCCTAATGAACACATCACTTCGTACACATGCAGAATAAAGGGAAATGACTTAGAAGATGATGATATTGAATCCGTTTTGTTGAAGAAATTTGGAGAAACTTTATCGAAGGGGGAAATGATATGGTACCACAATTTGCCACCCAATTCCATCGATTATTTCGCCATGCTCGCCGATTCGTTCATAAAGGCACACACCGGAGCAATAAAGGTCGCGATAGGAAGTCGGACCTCATAAAGTGAGACAAAAGGACAATGAAATGCTAAAGGAATTTGTATCTCGATTTCAGATGGAATGCATGGACCTCCCCCCGATTACCGATGATTGGGCTGTCCAAGCCTTTACTCAGGCTTTGAACGAGCGAAGTTCGATAGCATCACGTCAATTGAAGCAGAATTTGATTGAATATCCAGCGGTGACCTGGGCCGATGTGCATAATCGATACCAATCAAAGATCAGAGTCGAGGATGATCAGTTGGGAGCACTATCCGATTCCATTTACCCAAACAGGCCCGAAGGCAGGATTTAAAGAGACATCGACAGAGAGCCCGATCGAACAAAGATCGATACCAACCATATAGCGCAGATCGAAGAAACAATGGACCGGGACGTAATCCCATACGAAATGATCGAAGGAATGATCGAAGACAAAATTCTCGAGGGCTCTTGAGTAAGAATGGCTTTAATAAATACGTCGAGCCTAAGGAAGCACCACGGTTATTGGAATACAACTTCAGCATCGATGCTTCAAGTATTGTGTCAGCCATTGGGAGAATCAAGGATACTAGGTGGCCCAGGCCCCTGCAAACCAATCCAGCTCAAAGGAATCCGAATCAAATATGCAAGTACCATGGAATCCATGGTCACAGAACCGAGGACTGCAGACAACTAAGGGAGGAGGTAGATTGTTTATTCAACGAAGGTCATCTTCGAGAGTTCTTGAGTGACCGAGCAAAAAATCACTTCACAAACAGGGATGCAAACAGGAAAAACGAACAGGAGGAACCACACAATGTGATTCATATGATCGTCGGTGGAGTCGATATCCCTTAGGACCCGACATTTAAACGCACCAAAGTCACAATCACTAGGGAGAAGCGTACCCGGGACTACTTACCAGAAGATACCTTATCCTTCAACGATGAGGATGCAGAACATCCTCACAACGACTCACTGGTAATATCTATCCTTATGAATAAAACTCAAGTTAAACGTGTGTTGGTTGATCCAGGTAGCTCAGTAAATATTATTCGATCGAGGGTCGTGGAGCAGCTCGGCCTTCAGGATCAAATCGTGCCTGCATCTCGAGTGCTTAACGATTTCAACATGGCAAGTGAAACCACCAAAGGGGAAATCATGTTGCCAGTGAACGTGGCTGGAACTATCCAGGAAACAAAGTTCCATGTAATTGAAGGTGATATAAGATACAATGCACTGCTCGAGAGACCTTGGATCCATAATATGAGGGCGGTACCTTTAACACTTCATCAAGTCTTGAAATTCCCAACACCGGAAGGAGTCAAAATGGTAAACGGCGAGCAACAAGCAGCTAAAGAAATGTTTGCAATTGATGAAGTAATACCGGTATCGGCACTAAAATAAACAAAGGGATTGGAATCAAAGGAAAAACAGGATGTCAAATAGCAACCACAGTCGCCAGCCTCGACCAGATCAGAAGAGCAGGAAATTATCGAGGATGATGATTATATGATACCTTAAACCTTCGTAATCCCCGATGATTCCGACGCCACAAAGTCGACGGTTGAAGAGCTAGAGCAAGTCATATTGATAGAGCATCTGCCAGATGGGCACGGGGTTAACTCCCGAGCTCAGGGAAAAACTCATTAAATTCCTTATTAAAAATATGGATTGTTTTTCTTGGTCCCTCCTTGACATGACAAGGATCTCACCGGAGATCACCACTCATCGATTGAGTTTTGACCCGAAGTTCAGACCGGAAAAGCAAAAGAGAAGGCCATAGTCCGAGGTAAAACATGCATTCATCAAGGACGAGGTAACCAAACTTCTCAAAATAGGATCCATCCGAGAAGCAAAATATCCGGAGTGGTTAGCAAACGTAGTTGTAGTCCCAAAAGGGGAAATAAACTTAGAATGTGTGTAGATTACAAATACTTAAACAAAGCATGCCCTAAGGACTCTTTTCCTCTGCCGAATATTGATCGCATGATCGATGCCACGGCTGGCCACGAGATCCTCAGCTTTCTCGATGCCTACTCCGGGTACAACCAAATAAAAATAAACCTGGAGGATCAGGAAAAGACCTCATTTATCACTAGGTGCAGTACTTATTGCTATAATGTGATGCCGTTTGGGCTAAAAAATGCTGGTGCTACTTATCAATGCCTAGTGAACGAATGTTCGAAGAACAAATAGGTAAATAAACGGAGGTTTATATTGATGACATGCTAGTTAAGCCCCTACGTGTAGAGGACCATTTGACACATTTGCAGGAAACCTTTGACATATTGAGACAGTACAACATGAAGCTCAACCCCGAGAAATGCGCATTCGGGGTCGGTTCAGGCAAGTTCCTCGGCTTTATGGTATCAAATCGAGGAATCGAGATCAACCCCGATAAAATCAAGGCAATCGAAGACATCACAGTCGTGGACGGTGTTAAGGCTGTACAAAGGCTAACAGGACGGATAGCTGCTTTAGGCCGGTTCATCTCGAGGTCTTCTGATCGAAGCCACAGGTTCTTTTCACTTCTCAAAAAGAAGAACAATTTTACTTGGACCCCGGAATGCCAACAGGCATTGGAAGAATTAAAGCGGTACCTTTCGAGCCACCATTGCTTCATACTTCGAAAACGGACGAGCAACTCTACTTATATTTGGCAGTCTCGGTGGTCGCGGTAAGTGGTGTCTTAGTTCGAGAAGAACAAGGTACGCAATTTCCTGTTTACTATGTTAGCCGAACTTTAGGTGAAGCAGAGACCTGTTAGAAAAATTAGTGCTTGCTCTAATAAGCGCCTCTAGGAAATTAAAACCATATTTTCAATGTCACCTAATTTGTATTGTAACCACTTATCCCCTTCGCAACATTTTGCACAAGCCTGAGCTCTCGGGCCGACTGGCCAAATGGGCCGTCAAAATCAGTGGGTACGATATCGAGTATCAACCCCGAACGGCCATCAAGTCTCAAATCTTAGTAGACTTCGTGGCCGACTTTACACCTTCATGGGAAAAAGCCTGCTGCTCCGAGAGAAGTTGGTGTGAACAACTTTTTGAAGAAGTTATGCCTCCGTCGAGTTCTAATGGTTTGCTTAAACGAAGGTAGGGTTCCGTTGGAATATCTTTATGACAGATTTGGGGACGAGAAAGGGCTTGAGAACTTCTCGGGCACAAAATTCGTCAACTAATTGAGTTACGACGCTTGGAGGGAGTTGAGAATCTTCGCGTTCATGATATCATTTCTAGGGATCATGGTCTTTCCAGAGCGTGGTGGGCACATCAAAATTCGATTGGTTGCGGTAGTCTCGTATTTGCAAAGTAGCGAGGATAATACCATTCTTCCCATGATTTTGGGAGATATTTTTCGAGCTTTGACCCGTTGCCAAGAGGGTGAAGATTACTTCGAGGGATGCAATATTCTGTTGCAGTGTGGTTTATAGAGCACCTTTATCATCTTCTAATAGTAGTAAATTTCAATGATAATTGGCTGAATTACATTGGATGTCACCCAGACAGGGCTGCGAGTTGTAACCTTCCAGAGGGGGTGAGGGCCTGGCGGACATTACTTGGTTCATTGTGTGCTGATAGAATCACTTGGAACTATTATTGGCACCCTTCTGCTAGGGTCATGCATATGTCGACGTATCGCCCGTTCTTCATACTCATGGGTTTCAGAGATTTCCAACCCTACGCACCCCTATGCGTCATGCGCCAGCTAGGGAGAGAGCAAAAGAGGCCCCCGATTGAGGACATACGTCCGTTCGTGTGGGAATTCAAGGGAGAGGAACCTCCAAGGGAGTCATATGCACAAACGGTTTGGTTTGGTGGTCGATTTTCCGATTTGGACGAGATGGTAGCTGATCGTGAATGTGGGGAGGTAAGCTTTGCATACCTTGAGTGGTTTTACAACCAGGCTATCCCAGAGCAAAGGCCAGAAAAATCCAATACGGCATGCAGTTGATTGGGAAAAGGATATCGAGGATAGAGTTAGAGAAACCGAAAGGGAAGTGGCACTAGAGTTCCAACCCCGTTTTGACACTTTACAAGAAGATAAAGGCATTTTGGAGATGGCCATGGACGTACAACAGGCTGATTTCGAGCGAGAAAAGGCTAAGTGGGCACAAGAGAGGCGAGCACTCAAAGCTCAAATTAGGCAGAAAAAAGTGATCACTACCGCTCAACAACAGGAAGAAAGAGAAGCCCAGTTCAAGGTGGTCCGTGATCATGAACGCATAGGTTTTTCTCCATCAATCCAAGGTCTGAGGGATCAAATAGGGGGAGTTGAGTCAAGCAAGGAGCGCAAGATCGCGGAGTTTGAAATAGAAAAACATCACTATCAAAGTATGATCAATCGGTTGGAGGGGGAGTTAATTAGAAATTCGGCGCCAGAGAGATATGGCCTTCGAGCGCAAGCGTGATGCACTGGATCTAGTTGAGACCCGTGGTTAGAGAAATCAAGAGTTGCATTTGCCTCAGGAATACATTAAGGGAAAGATCCTCGAGATAGCCACATATACCTCACGAGCATGCAGGATTTGCCAGGGAATGACGCCTGAGCAGTTTGTAGAAGTATAATTGAACGTCGCCCGTCATATGTAACTTGGAGAGGATATACTGCAATGTTGGGGGTTAGCCGCAGGAACAAGCGCCTTGATTACTATGATGCTGGTGGATTCTACTGCAGAGATCAAAGTCTTCTTTTAGTTAGCAGTCCTTTTGATTATTCTTTTGTTGTCTTTGAGTCTGTAAGAGTCTTTTGGTGTTTTGAGTCTTGTTGTTTTTCCTTTTATCCCAAAAAGTCTGTTTGAGTCAAGTCAGGTCTTGTTTAAATGTTTATCTTTATGTAATTCTTCTTTTTGAGTCTTGTATAAAAAAAATTGAAAAAGATTTTATTTTAAGAAGAATTCAAAAATGAACCCAAAAGATGTTGTTTCTTTGTATATATATATATATATATATATAAAACAAAAAAAAACAAAACAAATGGTCATGCCCCTGAACTACGTAATGATATGATTCATGCAGCGACATGATACGTAGGCAGCCCCAAAAAGGTTCGATCAAATATTTTTCAATGACTCTAAAGTGAGGGATCAAAATAAGGCGAGTGAAAGGAAAAACAAAAAAAATAGAGAAGGAAATAAGAGCGTCAATAAGAAACAACTTGATAAGCCGGAATGAAACATGAAGCCTTCCAAAAGCATGTTAGAGATGGTGATAATTTTAGGAGCATAGCATATTTACGTGTATTCATATTTATAGATTGCTTAAACCTAACACGTTTGTTACCTCTTATATAGTAAGCTTAAGGTGGTTGGTTTGTGGTGAAACTAGCAACACATCATCACTTCACAAGATCTTAGGGAACGGTGGTAATGGATAACAGTGATGAAATCGAGTTGGTCAGCGACAGTCCCCAGGGTTAGTCAGTTGAGCAAGAGTCGGAGGAAATAAGAAAATTGAGACAGCAACTGTCAGATGTATATCAAGCTTGGGTTTCCGGTCAACCTCCACCCCAGGGTCCCTCAGAGGGAACTTCCACCATACCCCAGGCTACTTAACCACCGCTCCATTCAGCAAGCGATCACATTCTACCACCAGGTTATGTTCCAAACTACAGACTTCATGCTGCCCCTAGTACCTCTAATATGCGACCTCCAGTCGTACCGGTCAGGAACACCCCTCTCGTCGTGTCTGGCGCACCGGTATATACAATCCCGCCACTAACTCCTATGACGAGGCCAAACAATGAGCCACCATCTCATGCTTATGATGGCCAATACTATTCTCCAAATATGGTTTTCAGGGTCTTGGCTCCATACAATCAGACTCCTCAGTACGAGTCACCAGGGGAAAATG